TGGGTGGCAAGGGCTGCTTTAGGTGTGAGAGCGGCTGTGTGTGTGTGTGTGTGTGTGTGTGTGTGTGTGTGTGTGAGAGAGAGAGAGAGAGAGAGAGAGAGAGAGAGAGAGAGAGTCACAGGGAAACAAGCCCTTTTGTCAGGGATCAGACCCTGGTGCCTCCCATCCCAAATCGCCCCAGGGGAAAGGGATGGGACGGGTGGCAGGCGCTGGCCCTGGGGGTTCATTATTTTCTCTACATAAGCAAACGCCTGAGATCCACAGTTAGGAAAAGTGCACGTTAAGAAAGACCTAGAAACTGGAATAGTACAGCAGGAAGAGCGCTTGCACACGCGGCTGACCTGGGTTTGATCCCTGGCCCTGCACAGGGTCCCCTGAGTCCACTGAGTGAGCCCTGAGAGCAGAGCCAGGGTAAGCCCTGAGCACCACTGGGGGTGGCCCCAAGACAAAACAAAAAGAAAGGAACCTATTCTAATGATACTGGGGATGGAGAACAGAAACTGCCCCCCCCCCACACACACACTATATTTCCCACACTGCCCGTCTAACGGAGAACATCAAATAAGCGACTTAAAAGATCTTCTCCATCTTCTCGAAACGAGCACAGCAAGCTCACCCACGACCCAGCGGTGTCACTGCATCGTGGCACGAGCACTGCCTTCCTTCGCTCAGCGGCAACTTTCCCAGGCTTCTGGAGAGGCCAACGTGTGGGGAGCAGCCCGGGGCCTGCACGACGGACTAGGTCAAGGGCAGAAGGGCCGGCGGGGAAACGAACGAGTGGCAGACGCCACACAAATAACCCAAGGCAGGGCCCTGGACAGCGAGGCCGGGTGTGGGTCCCCCGGGCCCTCTAAAATGATCGGCGAGGCCTGGGGACAAGGGGATGGGGCACTCAGCCTGTGGAGGGACGGAGAAGGGACAGCCGCGGCTCCCGGGCTGCCTCGGTGACACACTTACTAAGTCCCAGGGGCCGAGCGGAGGAAGAGGTTCGGGGACTGCTGGTTTACGCAGGGCCTGCCTTGACCAAACTCGGCACAAGAGCAGAATGGAAGCTCTCTCAAGGGCCGTCAAGGAAGAAAAGAAGGCGCTAACGTTTGAGTTCACGGTTCTCTGCATTGTTTTCCAGCTTTTTCCCTATCTGCCTTCCGGCTCCCGCCTCACAGAGGAAACCACATTATGTGCCAGCACCACCCAGTGAAGTCGCCTCCAGATAGGAATGTTAGCTGAGCACCACAGGTTGGATTCTGGGAGCGAGGGCAGAAGGCGGGTTCTCTGTGCCAGTGCTGAGTGCACCCAAGATAAGTGGCACAGAAGTTCCTTTTAACAGAGAGCAATTCTGGGAGTGGGGAGATAGTGTGGTGGGCTGGGCGAGTGCCTCGCAGGCGGCTGACCATCCTTGGCATCATAGATGGATCCCCAGACCCTGCCAGCCGTGGTCCCTAAGCACAGAGCCAGGAGTAAGGAGTAAGGGAGGGAGGGAGGCAGGGAGGGGAAAAATCTGGAAAAAAAGAAAATGAGGGCATCTTTATTTTCCAGCACTATAGTCTGCACCTGGGGCTGGCCTGAGCACTTCTGGGTATGGACCAAAAAATTAAACAAGATCAATACTTGAGTGTCAGTGGAAATCTTGAAAGACTAGTTTAGCTTAGACATGGAAGAGTCTTCTCTTAGAAACCAAAATTAAACGAATGTCCACAGCACCTGCAGCTGACCTGGAAACTGCCCTGGACTCCCAAACCACTCCCAGACTGCCACAGTTTCTGCAGAGCACTGCCAGGGAGCCCCTGCGCGCGTCTCCTCTGAATCCCTGTAAAACCATAAAACTGTGCTCGAGGACTTCTTGTTAAGGGAAACAGAATGGCTGGTTAATCGACAACCCGCAAACTACTACTTGATCATGCCGCTAATCAGCTTACATTAGATATAGATAGACACAGTTTCCCGTATCAGTCCTTGTGTTAACTTGTGAGGTGAAAGATGGTCTTGGTTTTGCACCAGGTAATTATCAAGTTCTGTTTGGGGGCACATATTAGAAGATACCAAAATCTGTCTCACTAAGTCACAACAACCAACCAACCAACCAAAATAACAACCAAAAAACAAACACACTAGACATCACCATTGGAATTTTGTTCCTTATACCAAAAACACCAGCTCAGGGCTGGAGCATAGTGATAGTAGGACTAGTAGGGATAGCAGGGCGGGTAGGGCGTTTGCCTTGCACACAGCTGACCCGGGTTCAATTCCCAGCATCCCACAGGGTCCCCCAAGCACCGCCAGGAGTAATTCCTGAGTGCAGAGCCAGGAGGAACCCCTGAGCATTGCTAGGTGTGACCTAAAAACAAAAAAACAAAAAACAAAAACAGCTCAGATGAGAGACTGGTGCAGAAGTGGAAAAATGAGTAGCCTCAAACAGGACCAACTGACAAAGGGAAAGAAGACAATACAGCTTTAAGATGCAAAAGCTTCCGGCTCGTATTAATTCTCGCACTGGGACACCCTTCTTCAACTCATTAAGTGCCTAGACTTATAGGAGAGGAAAAAAAAGGGAGCTGAAACTGCCTGACGCCATACTGCAATACCAAACACATGCAAACCCTGACTTCTTCAACCTTCTCTCACAACAATCCAACAAGGAAAAAATTTTAAAAATTTAAAAGGCCCCGTGGTGCCGGGTGTCCTGACAGTTCCCAGAACCACCTGGTAGGATGAGAATTGCCAGGCCCATCCTGGGAGCTGCTGGGTACATGCCACTGCCCCTTTAGAAAAAAAGAAGGGAGGGAGAGAGGGAGGGGAAAAATCTGGAAAAAAATATGAGGGCACCTTTATTTTCCAGCGCTAGAGTCTGCACCGGAGGCTGAAACCCAAGAACGCAAGCTTGGTCTCTTAGCAATGACATCCGAGTTGGCTCTTCACTCTGGCTCCTGCCACAGAAGGCCCATTCGGCAAGAACAGATGTCGTTTCTGGAAAGTCATGAAGAAGGACGAGTGAAGGCAGGATCAGGTCCTTCTGGCTTCACAGACACTTACCAGGTCCCAGATCCCGGTCAGGCTTGTGTCAGTACGATGCTACGAACTAAAAGTACTCAAGTCCAAAATGCAAAAACCCGGAAAAGGAGGCTCATTGCCCTGGGAACCTGATAAGCCATGCGGGTGACCCTTTAATCAGTGAGACCAGTCTGGGCCTGGAGCAGGGCTGAAAGAGGCCGACCTTTAGAGAGCTAAGTTTCAGCAGTGGATTTGCGGGGAGTTGGGGGGAGGGGCGGTGGAGGTGGGGGTGAGGGGGCAACAAACCGAGTGGGAGCTGTTCTGGGAATCTGGTGTGGCTGTCCTCCCTCCACCCATCTGATTCGTAACAGAAACAGAGGCGAGCCTCCTCTACAGACACCTTTATTCTGCAGGTCAAAACCAGGCAGAGGGGCTGCAGTGATAGCACAGCAGGTAGGACATTTGCCTTGCACGCGACCGACCCGGGTTCGATTCCCAGCACCCCACATGGTCCCCTGAGCACTGCCAGGAATAATTCCTGAGTGCAGAGCCAGGAGTAATCCCTGTGCATCGCCAGGTGTGACCCAAAAAGCCAAAAAAAAAAAAAGAGAGAGAGAGGCAGATTTAAGAGCATTCACACTGCTCAGACACACCCAACACTGGCCTATGTCACCCTTCAACCATCTACTGAGTATCTTGTGAGATGATGATTCCGGTCCAGACCTGGGAGTTTCAACACAATGAAAGGGGCCGGGGATGGAGTTCTGTGATAAGGTGCCAGTTTCCCATTCACACGGCTTTGAGTCTGAAACGCGCAGCACCCAAACAAACAAAATGAGCTGTAAGGGACTCCAAGTTCAACAGCAGCTGCCAAGGATCACTGGATCCATCCTGACTTGGGCAACCCGACTCTTACAAAGGGCAGCGGAGGGGAAAAGTGCCTTCTCCGCCTTCGCCAGGCGGCCACAGGCCTCTGTGCCAAGCTGGCCTGCGGGCCATCCCCGATCCCTTTCGCAGCTCCTCTTTCAAGGAAATCCCTCCTGCTTGCAAGATCCCCCCCCTAAAGGCGCCTACAATTCCAGTTTTCTCTAGGCGGGCCCCATCCACGCTCCACCCGGCCCTTCCCTGGGCATCCCTTTCGGGAGGGGTGGGCTGCAAAGCCAACTCCACCCACTGCTCCAACTGCTGGGGTGGGGGGGCCCCTTCACTCTAGGCCGTGTTAGAAACCAAACCCAACCACCAGCAACACCACTGCCTGGTCCCTCATCAGCACCGGGGCGCACCAGCTGGCCCCTGCGACCTCCCCAGCCAGATGTTTCGCTTCCCGGCCCTGCACCCACACCCGGGCACCCCTGCTCCGTGGAACCAGGGAGAATCGCTGGCAAGCAGTTTGGGTACCGGGGGTCGCCACGCTGCGCCGGGAAGAGACGGGGGCAGGTTTTTTTTTGGGGGGGGGGCGTTTGCAAGCAAACTCCGGGGTGCTGGCAGGGGGGAGGGAGGGAAGGGAGGAGCAGGGAGCCAAGGGCGGCGGGGAGGTCCGTTCGGTCGAGAGCAAGGGAGGCGGGGAGAAGGACGCCCGGGGAGGGCCGAAGAAGCGCTGGACGCCCCTCGCGCGGTGGACCCGGGCCGGGGGTCCCGGGATAACGGACCGGCTCCCAGCATCCCCGCGACACAGCAGGTGACAACGGGAAACAAAGAGGTCGGGGGTGAGGGGGTGGTCAGGCGAGATCCGGGCACCTCCAAGGCTCGGGCGGGAACGGGAGGAGAGGGGGCTCGGCAGCTCGGGGGGCTGGCATCCCCCCGCCCGCCCGCCCGGGACGCGCTCGAGCCTCGGCGGGGCGTCGCGTCCAAGCCGGGGGCGCGGGGGCGGGGAGGGGTCTGCCGGCGGGACTCGTCTCTCCCGGGGACAAACGGCCTCCCTGGGGAGTGCTCGGCGACTGCAGACGCCAAGAACATCAGCGCCCGGAGGCGCCGCATCTCCCGGCCCCGGCCCGGCTCCCCGACACACTCACCGCGTCGCCTCCAAACGCCACCGCTCCAGCTGCAGCTACCGGCCGGCGCAGCCGCACTCCGCGCGCCCCGCGCCCACGTGACCCGCGCGGGGGCCCCGCCCCGCGCCCACGTGACCGCCGGGCCCGCCCAATGCCGGCTCCGCTCGCGTCACGTGGTCGCGGCTCGCCCCGCCCCTCCCGGCAAAGATGGCGGCGCCCAGGTGTGGCGTGCCGGCGGGGCTCTGGGGCCGGGGCGCCGGGCGTCGTTTGGGGGCCTCCCTCTGCGCGCTGGCTGCGAGGCCCCTCTGCTCCGCCGCCGCCGCCTCCACGCCCCTGAATGCCCAGCGATTGGCCGAGAAACTGCGAGCTCAGAAACGGGGACAAAAGGCCAAGGAGTCGGTGAGCGCGGAAGGACCACGACTCCCGGCAGGCAGTGCGCTCTCTGCATGCCCTGCGGGAGCGTGGGGCGGGTGGGCTGAGTCCGAAAACGCAGGGTCTGTCTAGCGGCGGGGCTTGACTGTGGGGAACCGGGACGAAGGGACGGCGGGGCGGTAGGCTGCAGAATCTTCCCGCGGGCGGGGTCGTTGGCTCCCCCCGGGCTCAAAACCAAGCCCCCGCTGGGCACTCCGCTGCTCAAAATCCGGGCGAGGCGCGAGTCTCGCTACAAAGTTGCGCCCGCTTCCGATTCAGATCGGGGCTCGCCCAGACTTATGGAGGAGCGCCCTCCCGGGCCGCCCCCCACCTTCTGCTCCTCTCCCCGTAGGTGCCCGCAAATCCCGTGAGTCGGAGAGTGCAAGAGCTCGTGCGGTTCACGCAGCAGCTGCAGCGAGTCCACCCCAACGTGCTGGCCAAGGCGCTGAGCCGCGGGATTATCCACCAGGACAAGAACCTTGTGGTCATCAACAAGCCCTACGGCGTCCCCGTGCATGGTAAGGGGCCCCCGGAGAAAGGGCATTGGGGGTGCGTGTGTGGGGGGGGGTGGGGGGGGTGGGCGCTGCGGCTCTCTGCTGCAACTCGGGGCAACTCTGACCTGGAGGAACTTGCGGGGCTCCCGGAAGCTTTTTGAGGCTACACTCAAAATGATTCCGTGTTTGTTGAGTCCTGCACCTAATAAGGCACTAGGAGAAATGACCACTTCCCAAGTCTGGCAGACCCGGGGGCTCCTGGAAGGCACGGTGTGCAGACCCCCACGGGGGTCTCTGGAGAGAGTTGCTAAGGTGGTGTGCTGACATTCTGCAGGAAGTAGCATTTCAGGAGAAACGAGTGTGTGCAGAGGCCAGAGAAGTGTACAGATGCGGAGGCCCCTGTTTGTGAACCTGGTTCAAATTCCTGGCAACGTGGCCGTCCAGGCATGGCCCCTGAGCACCACTGGGTATGTCCTATCCCCCTCCTTACCAAGTGTATGTGTTGTGTGTTGGAGTACACAGAGCCCCAGGGCACCCAGGGTTTTGTTTGTTTGCTTTGTTTGGGGGGGCCACAGCCGGCCATGCTCAAGGGTTACTCCTGGCTCTGCACTCAGGGGATTACTCCCGGTGGTGCTTGGGTTGCATTGGGGTGCGGGGGATCAAACCCGGATCAGCCACGTTCAAGGCAAACGCTCTACCCACTGTACTATCATTTAGGCCCCAAGGTACCTGGAGTTTTCATGACTATTACTTTGTATTTTGGACCACAGCATTGTTGAGACTCCTGGTTTTAGAGTTTAGGAGTCTGCTCTTGGTGGAGCTCGGGGTTCTGGAGATAAACCTGGGCCTCCCACATGCAAAACTGTGCTCACCCGCGGAACCATCTGCCTGGTCCAGCCTCTAGAATTCAGTGGCTGCTCAGTTGGTTTGGCATGTGGGGCTATGGGGGAGGGGAACACTGTGCAGTGCACAGGCTGCTCCTGGCCATACTCAGGGGCCCACGTGGTGCTGGAGACTGGAGTGGCCTTCACTGTGTGCACAGCAAGCACCTTAGCCACTGTACTGTCTTTGCAGCTCCGTGGATGGTATCGGATAAATGTTGAATGTGGTCAGAGACAGCTGGGGTGAGTGGGCAAGACGGATGTGGGGGTGGGGGGTGGGAAGCGCGCTTGTGGCAGGGGTTTTGCTAGCGGGGAGGCACATTTGAGTGGAAGAAAGTTGCAGAGGAGTTACAGGGAAGGTCAAGGACTTCAGTCAGATCTCACCGAACGCGTTGCCGGATTTCCTCGTGCCCCTCATCGTAGCTTCTTGTCTTCCCATTCCCTGCAGGAGCGTTATTTTCTAGATATTTACACTTTGCAGACAAGGAAAAGGGGAATGTTTCAGGAGGCCAGTGGCTAGTTTGGTGCATGTGCAGGGTGGACCCTGGAACTGTCTCTCCCCCAATCCTCTCCTTTGAGCGCTGTTGCCGCAGGGGGCCCTGATGTCTGGCGCTTCTCACCAGGGTTTACTTGGCACCTTCCCAAGGCTTGGTTTCCAGAGGGATACCAGAACTCCTCCTTTGCTGGATGAGTTTCCAGCCATTTCATACAAAGTTTTCTTTACGTGTTGGTGGAGAACGCCAAGTGCCCTGGGACCGTGCTTCTCAAACTTGAATGTGTTAATGAGGAACGGGCGCATCTTGTTAAAGTGTATTTGACTTTAGTGGTCCTGGGTGGGGCTTGAGATGCCTTTCTAGTGGGTTCTCCCCGGCGCACCTCAGTGCCAGTCTCCCAGACCACAGGTACCCTAGAAGTCCGTGATGGTTAATCCAGGAAGAACCTTTGCCCACGTCGAGTTTCTGAGGACATCTTTTCCTGGCCACTCCAACCTCTGACCTTTCCCTTCCTAGGTGGCCCCGGGGTCCGCCTCTGCATCTCTGATGTGCTGCCCATCCTGGCCAAGATCCTTCGTGGCCACAAGGCAGAACCCCTGCATCTGTGCCACCGACTGGACAAAGAGACCACCGGTGTCATGGTGTTGGCGTGGGAAAAGGAAGTGGCGCATCAGGTCCAAGAGCTGTTCAGAACCCGGCAGGTGACCAAGAAGTACTGGTATGTCGGGGCAGAAGAGGTGGGAGCGAGGCGCCAGCCCGGCCAGCCGGAAGCCCTGTTCGCTGCCACACTCACGACTCTGAGTGTAGGACACTTGGTGCTTACAGGGTAGACCTGCCGGGACACTGCAGGGTCATGCGTGTGGGACAGTACCAGGCCCGCCAGGACACTGACCGATCACATGTCGGGGAGAGCACCAGGCCCACCGGGACACTGCAGGGTCACATGTTTGTTAGTGTGGTGGGTGGGGGATGGGGGGATGCCAGGGTTGTCCATGCTTAGAGGGTCCTATTGGTGCTGGGGACAGGCCAGGTCCCCCGTGCAAGGCACGCCCTGGCCCTGTCCACATGCATGTCCAGCCCCTTGCTGAGTGATTCTCTGATAGACACGCAGGACCCAGAAGGGGGTACCACGATTGTTCTGGAAGAGAAAAAAGCAGAACAGATAAGCCGGCCCAGCCTGAGGGAAGGGCTCAGCCCACACCCAGCAGTGCTGGCCATATGCAGGTCCTCCAGGCTGCATCCCGGGATTTTATTTTCTGTTTCCCTATGCACTGGTGATGTGGACTCTCTTTTTCTACTATTGGCTGTTTAAATGTCCCCTTTTCTGGGGGGTGGGGGGGACCCACATCCCGTGATGCTCAGGGTTTACTCCTGGCTCTGCACTCAGGGGTCATTCCTGCCAGTGCTCGGGTATCTGTAGGGGCTGCGGCCATCAAACCTGGGTCCCCCATGCACAGCGGCAGGTGCCTTGCCTTGCTACACTGTTACTTTGGCCCCTTGTACTTCCCATTCTCTGAACAGATTTCCTTTTGCCCACTTTTCTGTTGGCTGTCATTTCAGGTTTGATTTGAAAGTACTGTTCTATTATTTTATTTTGGGGGGTTTTGGGAGCCACGCCTGGCTGTGCTCAGGGGGTCGCTCTGGGTGGGACTTGGGGGGCTGTGTGCAGTGCTGGGGATTGAACCAGGGTTGATCACGTGCAAATGCCTTCAGCCCTGTACTGTTGCCCTGACCCAAGTGTTCTTTTGCTCACTTGGGGGGTTAGTCCCTGGGGTGTCACAGATTGTGCAGGCACGCTGTGACCTAGCACGACCTGCCCACTGAGGTTCGGGTTCAGCAGGGAGATGGGTGTGGGGATGAGGTATCTCTGCTTTAAAAAAAAAAAAATTCCACGGATGTCTCAGGTGTGTGAAGTCGCGTTTAAGAGCATTGAAAAGGGGCCGGAACAATAGCACAGCGGGTAGGGCGTTTGCCTTGCACACGACCACCGACCCGGGTTTGATCCCTGGCATCCCAAATGGTCCCCCAAGCACCGCCAGGAGTGATTCCTGACTGCAGAGCCAGGAGCAACCCCTGTGCATCGCTGGGTGTGACCCAAAAAGAAAAAAAATCAAAAGAAAACATTGAAGAGCCGCTGTTGAGAGAACTCAGGGCCTGTGGAGGGCGGTCAGTTCTGCCGAGCGCTCAGGCCCATGTCCACTCTCAGCCGAGCCTTTCCCTGCGTGGGAACACTGGCCTGTCTGAGCTGGCGGCTTCTTCATACGAAGAACGAAGAAAGGGGATAGAAAGCCTGATGAGAGACCCGGGTGAGGGGAGCGCATCACACGGGCCCGCCTCCGGGTCCCAGCCGACAGACCAGGGCCCGGGCTCGGCGCTTACAGGGGCTTGCCAACCCCGACTCAGTCCTGGCACCTCAGACTCCCCTCCGCACCCCTGAGCACAGCCCTGAGCGCCGACCCTTCAACCCCTTGTCCCTGACCCCAACCCCGAGGCCAACAGCACCTAAGGCCATAGGACCTCACTTCCTTGGGTTTTTGGCTCAGCGGCCCCTCAGGGGGCTGTTCTGGCAGATGTTGGGGGGCCCGTGTGCGGGGGTGGGGGGGTGGGGAGGTGACCCCGGGTCCGCAGCTTATCCCGGTGCTCACCCTCCTGCCCCCTTATCTCCAAATCACACAGCGAAATCCCGGGGCCTGAGTGTGTTGGTTGTGTCTGCCGCAGGGCCGTCACCGTGCGCAGCCCGCTGCCCCCCGCGGGCGTCGTGGACATCCCCATCGTGGAGAAGGAGGTTCAGGGCCAGCAGCAACACCACAAGGTGGGTGACCCTCCCCGTCCCCCCCATGCCGGGTCCCTCCTGCGGCCACGGACACTGACCGTGTCTCCTTTATTTATTTATTAATTTTTTAAATTTTTTTACTTGGATATCGGTGAGATAGACCCTTACAAAACTATTCACGTCGGGTTTCAGTCCTACAGGGACCCAGCACCCTTCCTTCCGCCAGCGTCCTTTTCCCACCGCGACGTTCCCTTCCCCCCACCCCCACCCTCCCTGACCGCGTCTCCTCGCTCTAGATGACGCTGTCCCCCGGCTTCCGCATGGACGGTGACAAGCTGGTCAGGCGGCGGAGCGGCCCGGGCGCGCACCCGGCCGTCACCCAGTACCGGGTGCTGAGCGGTGGCGTCTCCTCCGCCCTGCTGGAGCTGCAGCCCATCACAGGTGAGGCCCCGCCCCAGGCGCCGGGCACTGCAGGGAAGCCGGGGCTGAATGGCTCTGGCCGGACTGATGTGGACCCCAGGGGCAGGACTGTGACCGGAGAAGCCACACAGCCCGACCCCTCTGCTCCCGAGTGTGCAAAGCAGTTCCTCAAAAGATGGGAGCAGTGGGCTGGGGCCATAGTGGGCAAGGCAGGCGTTTGCCCGTGTGCGGCCAAGCAGGGTTGGGTCCCCGGCACCCCCTAGAGTCCCCAGTGTCCCGCCAGGAGTGACCCCCCAGCACAGAGCCAGAAGTGAGCCCGGAACACAACCGGTGTGGCCCGAATGGAAGGACTGAAGGTAGGAGCACGGGGCAGCCCCCGCGGCTTCTACTTGGACCCCGGACACACGCAGAGCAGCGTCTCCCATGGGCAACGCCCCTCTCCATCGGCCAACGCCTCCTTTCAAGATCAGAGGAGAGGACGAGCAAATTGTGTGTTTATCCACGCACGCTCACGTGTGAAGATGCACCCGCCCGTGTGCCATGTGTGTCTCTGGCGGACGTGTCGGGCTGTTGAGACTTGCAGAGGTCAGACTCGAGGGCAGGGGCTGCCACATGCCCAGTCCCGGAGACACCGGCCGCACTAGGGGACATCAGCGAATGCAGGGGGCGTCCTGGGACCCCATAAGCTGGGGGCCGCGCGCCATCAGGCTCAGGCGGAAGCGGACTCCAGGCTGGAGTGGGGGGAGGCGGACGGGGGCTGGAGTTTCCCGCCACAGTATGGCATGGGGTGGGGGGGTGGGGGGGAGTGATCTAGAGGCAGGGTGAGGGCAGGCGAGGGGCCTTAAACTGGACTGTGACAGAGTGGCCCCTGCGGGAGGCCTGGCTTTCACCGTGTGATGAGAACTTGACATGAAAACTCTCAGAGAAGCGCCGCTCAGTGTCGTGAGGCCGAATCATGCATCCGCGGGACATAAAGAAATGTAGTCAGAGGGGCCGGAGCGATAGCACAGCAGGTAGGGCATTTGCCCTGCATATGGCCAGCTCGTGTTTGAGTCCCAGCATCCCATATGGTCCCCTGAGCACCGCCAGGAGCAGACCAGGAGTAATCCCTGAGCATCGCCAGGTGTGACCCAAAAAGCAAAAAAAAAAAAAGTAGTTGGGGAGTTACTGATCCCCGCGGACAGCAGAAAGGAAGGGCAGGAGAGCTTGTCTGCAGGGCCTCGGGAGGGAGTTGGGGCATAGGGCAGGGGGCACAGCGCCAGGCAGGGGTGGAGGGCAGTGGCCGTGCTGGACGAGGACCGGGGTCCGAAGTGCTGGGCACGACGCCCTGTCTGTAACAATATATGAACTGCCTGCTCCGAGGCGGGTGGGGGCGGGAGGGAAACGGGAGGGAAGTGGACACTGGGGAAGGGCCAGTGACAGGACGCTGGAGCCTCGAACTCAGTCGTGAGTAATCCTGTGACTCAGTAACTCACGGCTGATTCAATACGTTATTTAAAAAAATCAAAAGCCGGGCAGGCGGCCCCGGGTGAGGGGTCCTGGTTAGCTCCGTTTTTGCTTCTGAGTGGCAGGGGCACAGCCAGGGCCCCCCGAGCCAGCTCCCCCTCACCCAGCTGACTGCCATGGGACTCTGGGGGGGGGGGGGCCTGGCCTGGGTCTGTGCCTGCCCGACGCCTCCCGCTCTTCCCCGCATTCCTCTCTCTCCCTCCCTTCCTCTTTTTCTCTCTCCCTCTTTCCCTCCCTCCTCTCTCTTTCGCCCCTCTCTCTTCCTCCCTCCCTCTCTCACTCTCTTTCTCTCCTTCTCTTCTCCGCCCCCCTGCAGGAGTCAAACACCAGCTCCGCGTGCACCTGTCCTTTGGACTGGATTGCCCTATCCTTGGCGACCACAAGTACTCGGACTGGAACCGGCTGGCGCCCCAGGTACAGCTGTGCGCCCGGGAGGGTGCAGGAGTCGGACTTTCCCTCCCTCCGTGGTCTGAGCTGGGCTTTCCCACCGCCAGCCTGGAGGCAGCGTTTTGACGGGCACTTTCCCGCCGTCTTCCCACGGGCTTTCTTCCTGGTTCTCAGGGGGAGTTAAGTGCTGGCCTCCTGGGCTTCCTGGGTGGTTTTGGTTCGGGGACTCCTGTGGCTGCTTTTCCCCCCAAACAGCGGCAAGCTCATTTCACTTCTCCGTTCCTTGTGGCCCCACGTGGCCGGTGCTCAGGACCCATTCCTGGATCTTTATTCAGGGAACCCCGTAGGGCGTCAGGGGTCAAACGGGGTCAGCCGCCTGCCAGGCACGCATCGGCCCGTCCAGCCCCAAGAACTTTCCTCTGCGTTCCCCACGTGGCTGTTGGTTTGCTGGCGGCCGCGCTGCCTCTTTGCTGACCGTTAGCGTTCCTAGCTCAGACAGACAGGTCTGAGGCTCTCCTGCCCGCTGACCCCTCAGCGTCGCGTCCTTCTGCCTTGGGGAGTAGGGGGTCAAAGGAGGGAAAGGGATGTGACCCCTCGGGGGAGCTCTCAGCACTCACCCCACATTTACGGGGAAGTTTGCTGCCTCACATAGGCGCCCTCAAACCTTCCCCGTTAAAGCTCACTGGGCATTGTCCTGGGTGTCCGAGTTGCACACCCCATGGGCAGGCACCATGGGGGAAATGGTGCAGGAAGGACAAAGCTGACACGGGTGGGGACAGGTGCCGTGGAACAGTGAACTGGGAGCCAGAGCACAGCACAGGTCCAGAGCAAGAGTCTGCGGGAGACATCTGGTCGACCCCAGGGCAGGGACACCTGCAGCTTGCTCCCATCGCTGCACAGGACCCTCACCGGCGGTGTGCTGGGGTGGTCTGTGGGCAGACAGGGGGCTCTGAGTCCTGGGTGAGACCCTTGGCTGTGTCCCAGACTCTCTCTCTTTCCCCCGCCGCGTGTAGAAGCTGCCGGCTGGCACCCTGAAGAAGCTGGGGCTGCCTCAGGCCAAGGCCCGGCACCTGCCCCTGCACCTGCACGCCCGCCAGCTGCTGCTGCCCGCCCTGGGCGCCCGCACCACCCCGCTCAGCCTGCTCTGCAAGCCCCCGCACTTCTTCGCCCGCTCCCTGCGCCGCCTGGGCCTGGAGACCCCCAGCCAGGAACCGGCGGAGGATGGGGCGGTGGGCCCGGGAGACGGCCAGTGAGGACTTCTCCACGGGGCTTCTGGCGAGTCCTGGAAGAGCCCCCGATGGCCTCGCTGTCTCGGCTGCCTGTGCTCCCCCCGGAGACAGAGAACGAAGTGCTAAATGTGGAACTGCACGTGCAGTGATCGAGCCCCAGACCCGGGGCAGGCACCATGGGGGAACGGGGCCGACGCAGAGGGGCGCCCCTCGGAGGGGCCAGGCACACCCCTCCTGCAGCTCCGGGCCTCGGGGAAACCCGGGGACAGACTCCTGATTGTGCAGCATCAGGAAACGCAAGTGTGAGCTCCCAGTGTGTTGCCCATTAAATCACATTTTTTTAAGTCTTGTTTTGGTCCTTTCACTTCAGTATTACAGCTCTTATTTGCGGCACCCAGATCCCCCATCTTCCAGTAGGTAGGCGTTACACCCACCAACTGCCCCCAGCACCATGTAATCCCATCAACAGCCAAGACCCAGAGACTATAAAACCCAGCTCCTGGAAGAGAACAGCGCAGTCTCCTGCCCCCGTGCCTGGCTGTCCTCACGGGGGTCCCTTGGAGGGGGGTGGGTTGAGTTTCCCTCCCCGCCCCGAGCAGAGCCCTGGCAGCCGATGACCTCCAGAACCAGCCACAGCCATGCTGAGACCACTCTTCACATGTTTGGATGACCCACACGCATATAGGAACCAGCAGAGGAACCCAGGCATGCAGGACCCGGGGCTGAGATCTCCAAGCCTGCTCAGATTAGGACTGGGCCTCCTCCACCCAGATCCCCCATCTTCCAGTAGGTGGGCATCACACTTACCAACTGCCCCTGGTGCCGTGTAATCCCATCAATGGCCAATACCCAGAGACTATAAAACCCAGCTCCCGGAAGCGCGCAGCTGGCCATGCAACATCTTATTAACTAGTTCTTACTCTGGAGAACCTGGCAGGCTACCAAGAGTATCCTGCCCGCACAGCAGAGTCTGGCAACTCCCCGGGGCGTGTTCAGTATGCCAAAAACCAGTTACAATGATGGGTCTCATTCCCCTGACCCTGAAAGAGCCTCGAATGTGGCACTTTCTAAAATCTCAGGGCTAGGACGAAGGAGACATACTGGTGCCTGCTCGAGGAAATCGATGAACAACAGGATGACAGTGATACAGTGATTTGTGGCATGGTAATAAATTATTAAAACACATGCACACAAACTCACTTAGGGCCCAAGCATGTTCTTTGCGTGAAGGAGCCCTGGCCTTGAGCCCAGCACTTCATGTGACCAGCATTCCCCTCTCACTCCAACCCCAGCACTGCCAGCTGTGCCCCCCCCAAAGAAAAAACATGTTTTGGGGGGCTGGAGTGGAAGGAGGACACCGGGGGCTGGTCCCGACCCTGGTGCCAGCTGTTTCCTAAGCTGGCATCACCCCCCATCACCCCACAGCTGGGGGTGCAAACACGGCAGCCAAGCAGCCCTGGTTCACCTGACCGAGACCAGCCTCTTGTGGGCAGTGATGAAAGAAGCGGGCAGGCCGGGGGCACATTGGTGGCCTCGTGGCTGACTCCTCTGGCCATGGGGGCTCCCGGCTCACCTGCAGCTCTACAGGAGGAGGTGGGGGCGGGGGGCTTCTCTCTGGGAGGGGGATACTTGTGCCTGGCCCCCCACTCACGTCACTGCAGCTCACTCTGCCTCTGACCCACAGTGCCAGCTTGCTGCCCACCTCAGAGCTGAGAACCGTGGGCGTCTCCTTGCCGCCTTGGCTGTGGGACGCCCCAGAACACACCGCCTTTAGGGGTTCTCTGCCTCGAGGCTGCAACTCTCAGCCCCCCTCCCCAACCTCTTTCTGTGACGCCCCAGACCAAAGTAAAGCTCGCTGTGCAACGCAGACGGGCCTAATCCGAGGTCTGGATATCAGGCCGTTTCTGCTTTTCTCAAGGTTAAAGGCGAGGCACGTGACATTTGGGAAACACAGTGACCTATTTGGGACGATCACCTGGGTCCCAGGGAGTCGAGCCGCCAGCGCCTAGAAGCGCCTCACAGTCCCTGCGCTGCTGGGGTGAGCCGGCAGGGGGCGCTGTAGGACAGGGATTGGAGGAAACCTCTGCACGCGCCGAAAACGGGAGGTAACTGCAGCTTCTGATGCTGCCGCCGGGTGACAGCATCCCCCTAGGTCTTTCTCCCTCCTTGCGCTGATGGGTTGTAAAGTGGGAAGCAGCTTGACCCTAGACTCAGGAGCTAACAACCCAGTCCTGTGAACTCCAGCCCCAGTTTCTCAGGAGCGAACCCAGAGTTTCCTATTCTGATGGGAGCAGGCGGGAGAGGAGGCTCTGGGCGTGAATGTGCAGTGAATCAGATCCCGGGGCCCTGGGATGGATGGAAGGACAGTGAGCTCACTGGAAGGCGAGACCTAGGCCAGCTGGGCCGTGGGAGCGGCCGGAAGCGGCGTGACCCTCCTTGGGCTGCCCACCCCGGTTGAAATGCCCAGTTCTGGGCTCTTGGCTCGTGTCCTGTGGGCAGACGTGGTTAAGCCAAGATGCCCCTGGGTCAGAAGCCTGGATGGATGGTTCTGGAGTTTTGGATGCTCAGGGATCATCCTCCCTGTCGTTGCTCATGACTTCAAACCCTAAGTGTCTGCTGTTGCCCCCAACACACACACACACACACACACACACACACACACACACACACACACACACACACGGGACCCCTGATGCTCCCATAAGCTTCCTGGCACACTTGGGATTCTCGCCCCAACTTGGGGCAAAGCTGGGACTTCTGGGCCCAGTGAGATCTGGAGGCTGAGGCCTGAGCCCAGGAACCCTCTTACTGCCTGTCTGTCAAGCAGCGTCCAGGGGCTGGGAGAGATGACCTGGACCCAGTCAGGGACTGCCGGAGGAAAGGTCTGACTTTGATGTGAGCCGGGAGGTCAGGGGGGAGCCAGAGGTGAGGCTGGTGGAGACGGCCTTCCTCCTGTTGGGGAGGAGAGCCTCAGCTCAGCCCTTTCATCTGTGTACTGCCCTCCCTCCGGCAGGGCGGCCCCTCCCAGGCGGGGTGTCCTGCCTCTGGGGTGGGGGCAGACTCTGGGGAAAAGGTGGACGTTGCTGGAAGCACTCAGTGCCGGAAGCACTCAGTACTGAGAGGACTTTGCCCCAGGGGAGCCAGGGATCCTCCTGCCTCCAGGGGCCTCAGTGGAGGCGGGGCGGGGGGGGGGGGGGGGGGGACTGGCAACTCTAATTCACAAAAAAATTGCAGTGCCAAAAATCTGACTTTAATAAAAAACATTCTTTGTGTTGCATGGACTTTGTTTCATTTATGATGCTGATTCAATATATCCCGAGTAGGCAAGGGCCAGGCTAGACCCACATTCTTGCATACTTGTGCCCCTAGGATGCACCCCAGGCCCAGGGTACCCCAAGCCCTTGGAGGAGGAGAGAGGGTCAGGGCTGCGGTGATCTGTGAACCCTCAAGTCTCATTCTCTCTCTCTCTCTCTCTCTCTCTCTCTCTCCCACAGCTCTCCCCATCCCTTCGTATGGCACAAAACCCCCAAATCCCTCTCAGAAGTTGGGGTCCCTCATAAGAGCCGACGTCGCTCCACTCCTCGCTCTTTGGGGCCCCCACCACGGGGACCCGTGGAGGCTGCCCAGGGCTGGAGGTGCCGAGGTAGCAGCATTGCCACATGCCCGGAAGCAGATGCCTGAGGGGTCACCCACTGTGGGCTGAGGGTGGGCCAAGATGGGGACTGGAGCCTTTGCTCTGCCCAGTCCCCCAGGCACCCCAGACCCACCCAGAGACACCCTGGCTTCTTGCTGCCAGAAGCAGGCTTGGTCTCGGCGGGCCCCTGGGTGTAGGAGACCAGCCCTTGCCTGCCCTGGCCTCATCAGGCCTGGGGTCTTGTCTCTGGGGAGTCTGCCCGGGCATCACGCCAGCACTCACTGGCATGGCCCGGTGTGGTTGTGGACGTGCTGGGTGGGGCATGGGGTGACACCTGTGATCCAGGCTTCCTGACAGCCCCAGAGATGAGGGTCCAGAGGGCAGAGGCGGGAGGTGGGGGGCTGGCGTTTGAGCCCAGGGCCATGCCCAAGCCCACGAGTGAGGAGCAGCCGGCACTGCGCCCCGAGTGGGAAAGGGGGTGCAGGGGGGGTGGGGCAGCCCTGCACGGCCCCGCACGGGGAAAGAGGGCGAGGACGACGCAGGTGTCCCCCAGACTGGGTGGCGCCCCAAAGAGAGAGCTGGAGACCGGGACTCGGGACGGAGGGAGATAGGGGGACACGGGCCACTGCCTGGCCCTGAGGCCGGCTGGGCGCTGCCTGCCCTGGGTTCAAGCCAGGAGCAGGAGCACGTTGGGGGCGGGGGGGGGGGGGCGTTGCGGGCTCAGGGCCTGTTCCAGCCCGCGTCCCAGATTTGTCACTCAGCGCTCGCTCAGCCGGGTCCTGTCAGGGGTCGGCCCGGCGGGGGGCAGGGGGAGCCCCAGGGACACTGGTGCTTTGTTCTAGCGTCCAGGCGCTGGCCTCTGGGAGGGGGGCTGAGCTGTGCTCGCGTCCCCATGAGTGAGGGCTGGGGAGCCGCGACATGGGCTGTGAGGGGCTGCACTGTCCCCGTGTCCCCGTGACAAGAGCTGTCGCCGCCGCCGGGGGCCATCAGCACCCGAAGGACCCTGGAACACAGCCCCCTTTGTGCGCATCCCGCCACTGTGTCCTGTCTCACTCGGCTTCGCCCTGTGTCCCCCCCCCCCCGCCCCGCGCCCCGCACACCTCCCCCCTCTGCCCCAGCTCAGCCTGGCGGGAGCCCCGAGGAGAGCCTGGTCTGGGGGCTTCCCCAGCCACCTCTCGGGCCCTCCTGGATGCCCTTCGGGTGGGCGGGGAGGGGGGAATCTCTCCTAGTCAGCCTGGCGGTGCTCACCCAGAGTGAGAGCTGGAAGGGCCGGGGTTCAACAGGCTGGGCTGGAGGGGGGTCTGGTCCCTGTAACAGAAGCCTTGGGGAGCAAGAGGCAGGTGTGTTGGGGGTCTCAGAGTCTCTTGCCTGCCTTGCAGTGGTGAGGGGCAGAAATAGGGTGTTTTTTTCTTTTTGGGTCAAACCCTGCTATGCACAGGGGTTACTCCTGGCTCATGCACTCAGGAATTACTCCTGGCGGTGCTCGGGGGACCATATGGGATACTGGGAATCGAACCCAGGTTGGCTGCATGCAAGGCAAACGCCCTACCCGCTGTGCTATCACTCCAGCCCCAGAAATGG